TTTCTCTGTCAAATACACAAGTATCATCAAATATTTTTCCTAAATTTGAGAACTTTTTAAGGGAATTAATGTCAAACTTCTCAAAAAAAATAAATTTAAAAATTCTGTTTCTCTGAGTACATGCATCTTTTCATATACAGCTGTGTTAAACCACTCCATTTACTGATGGTTTGCATGTTGTTTCACTTATTTTCTTGAATTATGGTGGGAAAAAGAGAGAGGAAAGGAAAGAAGAAGAAAAAAATAAGTAAAAGGCAAGCAGGCTCCCACAGGAATCAATAAATATGAGTTTCTTCCCAACCTGCCACTCCACCAGGGTGCCTGACCTGGTGAGATCTCACATTCCCCAAAGGTTTTACACCCAGATGGGTATCGGGAAAAAAGACAAAACAACACACCAACAAAAAAAACATGGAGATCATGCCTCTCCTGCTCACATAGGAGGTGCTAACTAGACAAGATCACCACATAGTGCTGAAGGTTTTCTTAATGCCATGTGCATCCCAAACACCCAGGCTGCCTACTGTATTTAGTTCCAGACAAATCTTCCTGTAAGCTCATAGATTGTGGCCTACTCATTTGTATCTCCAACTCATTTAACCAATTTAATTAATCTTTCTTTCTATTATGCCACATTTAAATCCCAATTTGGTCTGTCAAATGCCAAGTTCTCCAGGACAGAGCATTCCTCCTCCTTATTTCTCTTCCTTGCAGTTCCTTTCAGCTAAGAAATATCTCCTCCTAACAATAAAGCTCTTTGCAAATAGAATTGACAAGGTAAGTGTAAACACAAGAGCAATGAATTAGTTGCCATATTTACCCAAACTTCTCCTTCCACTGCCTTATGAAGTGGAAGCAGTAGTTTGGGTAAATATGGCAGTAGTCTGGGTAAATGAAATACTATATTAAATACATAGGATGGCTTAATGTCAAGCTCCTCATTTGCTGAATTCTGCAGCTGGCCTGTAAGAGCCCTGCAGCATATCCCTTCAACTCATCTGAGAAATTATACTTACAAGGTTTCCAATAAAGTCTTACCTAATTTGTGCCAATATTAGGCACACTAATGGTTTCCATTTAATAACTGTTTGGAGGGCTTCCTATCCTGAGAACACTGCAAAGAAAAGATATGTTTCTACAACAGATAGCAACAACAAAATATATAAAGCTTATGGTAGTTTCTTCTGTTAAAACAAGTTAATTTATAAAGGTAAGAAACATTAATGCCTGTCAATTTCCTTCTCTTTGGAATCTGTCCTTCACACACAGTAATTATATCAGGAAACCTCTCTCTATAACCAGCTAACAGACATAAGGAAAAAATCAGTTGTGACTAAGAGAGTACTGCATGAAACATATATTAACACAAACATTAAATCCAAATGGTATTTTTAAACACATCATCTATACTTGAAATCTGCAGAAGTACTTCAGAAATGTTCCTTTTGGTGGCATTGAACATTAAACTACACATTGCGCTTAAGGCAAACAAAAATTAACCTCCAACAAAACAACTAAACACACTGCAAAATTGCTTTAAAGTGTATCATTGTGAAGCATGACTATTGCTTCCAGGAGGGTTTTCCCAAAGGCAGACAGAGCTGATACTTTGTCTGACAGGGTTAGACAATTATTATCTGGGGTGCAATGTAATCCACCAAAGAAGACAAAGGAAAAAAGGCTTCCCCGTAAGTCTTCTACAGAAAATAAGAACAGCCAAACAGTAATAAATCCCTGAGTTATAACTCTATTTTGGCATAGCTACAGGAGGACACACTGAGATTTTAGTGGAGGTTTTTAAATTGTGAAGTCAGACAGATTAAACTGTCAAATATAAGTCTGCCAGGAGTTTGCTTAAAGTACTTTATAGCCATAGCACTATTCATAAGGTAAAACAAACCAGGATTACATACACTGGATATCTGGGACTGAGGTCAGAAGAAAAATTTGCATGTTTTATTTTCTAGAAAACCTCCGTCACATATTACTTTTAATGCACTACTACTCAAGTTAGTAATTTACATTTGTAAATCACTAGACTGAACTGCATCTGACTTCACCTGAGATCGGTGTTCAGTATCAAATGCAGCAAAAACTACTGATAAACGCACATATTTCCATCCAGTTAATCATCCTAATTGGTATGCAGACCACTTTAAAAATGCACTAATCAGTGTTACACTCAGATGCAGGGTTTGTTCAGCAGTAAAAGTCATGATCTGAATACTTATCCAAACAAATATCACATTTTCAGGGAAGACTCAAGCTCAGCACGTTTCAGTTAAAGAAAGAAAGAAAACGTTTTTAACATTGGAGAAACAAAGACAGAACTTTGAGGCTGACCTTAGATCTCCAGCTAAATCAAGTTTCATCTTTTTAAGGCATAAAGAAACCCACTTTCTTTAACAAGGTTAACTCACTATCATGAGAGTGATGGAGGCCAAGGGTCTGCTGTCTTTGTCAGGGCAGACTCCTACATTCATTTCCCCTTGCCTTGCTGCAGGATCTGCTCTTAGACCCTTGACAACAGACTTCAGCAACCAGGAGCTCCCGGATGAGGCAGAGATAAACCAGTGTTCATTAGCAATCCCAGAACACTCTCCAAAACACAAGACTTCCCTCAAATTTTTCTGCCAGAGCTCTACAGCCTCCCACCTCTAACACCCCTTGCAGGTGAATGGAAAGTGGTAAAAGAGACAATAATCTCAGCAGGGATCCAGAGGAAGCCAAGCAGAAAGAAGGAATTCTTTTCTCAGCCAGGAGCAGATGTACAGACAAGCAGCACTCCTGGCTAAAGGCCATAGAGGCTGCAACAAGGTCCCAGGAGGCTGCAGACAGACCAGACAGGCATTTGGAACCAAAAGCCACCAAATGTTTTGAAGGGAAAGCTTGCACCCAACCCTGCACCAAGCTGAGAACAGCCAGAGGTTCAGCAAGTATCTATAGAGGTTTTGAGTAAGAGTGTCTTGTTAAAAAAAAAAGGTCACAGAAGACAACAGATTACAAAGAAATCAGGCTGAAGGGTAAAAAGAATTAGGCAACTAAAGCAGGACACCACACAGAGCATTCCAAGAACACCTTCTGCTTCTTAAATCTCTGGGGACAGCATAGATTAGTCCTCTGTCCAAAGCATAATGAGACAAGGAAACAGGCACAGAGGTAGTGGTCACTGTGTGAAGCAGTCAGGCACTGCTGACAGTCACAGTATCCATTATATGGCATCTGCAGCTGTTTGTATTCCATGTTGCACACACAATATTTTTCAAACCAACTACAGACTTCATAGAAGTTCAACTACTGCAACCAGCATGTCAGATAACTCAGCTACTCTGCAGGACAGCAAATGAGACAAACACCATGCACAACTAGCTCAACTAGACTTGTTTTCAAATTTAACTTCATTTAATTCTGGTCTTTCAGTCACAGCATACCTTGGAGAACTGGTCTCAGTTCACACTACCTGGGTTTACTGTACAGCCCCCTGAAAACTCCTTTTTCAGAGGATTTATGAATTTCTCATATACTAGGGGGAGGAGAAATGGCTGCAGTTCATTTTTAACGTGAAAGTTAATATTTTCAAACAGCTCACACATACAAACACATAGCTTCCTTTTGCACAGCTTGGACTTTAGGGAAAAAGATTTTCCACACAATTAGATGCAGTTGTTAGACAACACATTATTCACTATTATTATTAACACATATAGAGGGAAAAAAATGAATACGCAAAACATTTCAGAAAGTGGCCACTAAGCACATTGCAACCATGTAGCAATAAAGCTGTAAAGCAGGAATTTTTATAGCAGTTTTGTAATGTCAGATTTTAAAAATAAGAAACAATAACACATAAAATCTATTATTAACTCAGATATACAGGAAAGCTTTTCCTGAGTCACCAAGCCTTCTCTCCTACTGTCACAGCCAAGCATACAATACTTCCTCAACATATCTTCAAGAGCCAGTTAAGGGGCTTGCTCCCATTTATCCCTTTTTAAGGCTGTTCTAGAACCTGAACCCATTTAGGGAAGAAACTGTGCAAATTTCAGTTTAAGTTTATTCATGCCAGTTTATATCCATTTGTTCTCATGCCAACATTGTTCTTTAGCTTAAATAGCTCCCCTCTCCCTTTCTAGTGTTTATATCCTAGCTGTACTTGCAGACTGCAATCATACTCCACCTCAGCCTCATTTGCTAGGCTAAACAAGCCAGGCTTTCCTTGTCTTCTCTGGAATAATTGACATTGCTGTCCTCCAGCGTCAGTCTGCACTGTCCCACCTGCAGCACAGGTGAGAGAACCCGTGGCTGGCACTCCCCAGGAACCACCACCCTTCCTGCCTGTGTGCTGGTCTAACACACTCCACCTCCACCTTTACTTTCTCCATAGGAGCAGCAACTTGGCCAGAGATCAGCCAGTGCCCCCAGCACATCCCTGGCTCTACTGCTCTCAGCAATGGAGCTCCTTGTTTGCAGTAGGGTACAAAGGCACAAAGGTAAGACTAGAAAAGGATACACAGTATAGTTTGTCTTCAGTGTGGATGATCTGTTCAAGTATGACTACACATCCTGTGTCAAAGCTTGCTATCTGATGGAGATGTAATCAGTCAATTGCTCACCATTACCTTTCAACTACGAGGATTCACTTTAGTTTTTCACATCATCTGCTAAAAAATCCTTACAGCAGGCAATCTCAAGTACTCAAATTACCCCTTAACAAGCTCCTGAAGTCACCACTCTCTTCAGCTCAAACCCTGCAGCAGCCCTTTCTAGGCTTCTCAGACAGCCTAAGGAAGTCACCATCTCTCCTGAACAATGGCACAGCGGGGTCTACTCAACACCACACCAAAAATGACCAGTTTTGTCACTGGTTTCCAACTCAGCTGCAGAACTGAAAACCAAAAAGAATAAGCCAGGTTTCCGAGTCATGCATTTCCTCTCCTAGCAAATGATTCCCACAGTTGTAATCTACTATTTAGATGACTCTTGCTGGGAAAGGCACTCACACACTGCTTCAGAGCCAAGAATCTTCCTCCTTGTTACAACAGTTCTGTTTTCTTCATAACACAGGCTAAAATTACTCTTCATCCCAAAGAGTCTTCTCCAGGCCTTGATTTCCCTTAGATGACAAAAAAACCCAAAAAAACCAAGCCAGAAAGTATTCCATCACACATTCATTGCTGCAAAGGAAGAACAAAAATATCCACACTCCGCATGACTGTTCCAGGCAAGGAAATTAATCAGCCAAGATTTTGTCCCAAGGTCACCATAAGAAGATGTCTCTTCCTTTAAGTGCTAGGACATCTGCACCATTATTTTAACTAAATGCAATTATGCCAGCAGAAAATAGTTTTAAACACAAGACAGACAACCCATTCAGAAAACACCAGAGCACGAGATGGCAGGATGATGACATACAGGATCTAGAACAAACTGGTGGAGCACACCTCCGAGCCAGAGGACACAGCAAAGCTGCAGCAGCTCAGCAGCAACTGTACCTCAGCTTCTGGGGCAACAAAGCAGATCTTCGTGAAGCACTGAAACTTGCAGCAGATATGGTAACCCTGAAAACTGACTGCAGATACCATATACGTTGTACCAGTAGCATCCACAACACACAAAGCCTATACCAGCGCATCACCACTGCAGAGTTGAGGTTTTTTCTTGGTTTTGTTATTTTGTATTTAAAACCCAGAAGTACACTTACCCTCCCTAGCAAGCAGGAGCCCAGCCAAGAATTATAAAACATTGCAAACAAGCGGGAGAAGCAAGGAAGCACAAATACAAACCGTTACACTTTCTATTTTATCTGTCTCTCTAGCCGCAACGAAAAGTAGCTCCGTTGCTGCCTTGGGGCCCAAGCAAATTCCTGACAACTTCCAAGACGAATTCATGAGCTCCACGTTTTGTTCCGAGAACTGTATTTTTTGCACGCTCCCATCTGCAGCCCCGCGCGCAACCCTCACTCGAGGGTTAATTTAATCTAATCAAAGAGCTCAACTCGCTCACTCTACTAATTAAAAAAGAAAGAAAAAAACAACAGTGAAAAAAAATTGCTACTTGTACAGGCACTTTTACCATTTTCCAGGCTTTTTTTACCGCACCGCCACCAGCAGAACAAGACCGGCTGCCGCTGCTATTCGCCGCCCGCGGGAGCAGAGCCCACGCTCGCCGCAGGCTCGGCCAGCGCTCTGCAGTAGCAGCGGCAGCGCTCCTGCACACCGGGGGAAGGCAGCGGACAGCAGGCCGGCCTCGGCCCCAACCCCCGGCACCGGGATGCGCCGGAATCGCCTCGGGCAAGGACGGCGGGACCCTCCCCCGGCCTCC